AATTTTTATGGTAGTGTGGCTAGGGTCTGAGATAGAGAATACAAAAAAACTTTGAAAATCCATTCACAACAACGGTGTTAGTAGCAAAAATACTTCAAAAATGTCATTGTACAAGAAAGTTGCAATTGACTCATATACATACATCGTCATTCTGTTGTACGATAGTTTCATATTCTTTTTCTCAGGCATATTGATATAATGCTGTTCTCAATTTTGTTTCCAATCAAATTACCGGTGAATTTATTCACCGGTGAAAATATTCACCGATGCGACTTTTGACGGCTTCCGTGAAGTACTTCTTTCTGTTTGTCTTTAGCCTTGTAGTTAGTGATGTAAAGCGCTAGTAAACGCCCGTGAGCACGTGAATAATAATATTCTCATAAACTTATTGAGTGAAATATATAATGTGTTCCTTTTTCTCTCGTTCTCTTACGTTGCAACTACTAGTAGATGCATGTTATTAGCCGTGATGTGTTTGTTTCACAAGAAAGCTAACCACGCTTAGCATACTGGATAAAAAATACAATCGAAATTACTTCTAGACGATTTTCTTTTTATTAAGGCTACTGTACAAAACTTACATCAACGAGAGTGAGATATCTCTAATTAAAGGAAAACTAACTATCACTATGTTACTGTCTATATTACAAAAATGTTTTACTCTGTCTATGCGCCGAAAAATATTTCGCATATGGGGAATTTCCCTCTCACCATGAGAATACACAACACAAAAAAACTCTGTCGTCTTTGAAGAGAAAGGGATTGTTGTTTCGATGAGTCATTTTTGTCTGCTTCTTCCTTCGAATATTTCATAACATAGTTGCAAAATTTTAGTATTTAAGCATGACACTTTAACCTTCATTCATTCCTTCTCTCTGCTTTTTAAAACAAGAATTACCTATGGCAGAATATTTTAAACTACCGTGTTCTAATCAACAAAACTATGTTGAAATCAAACTACCACAGTCGGTAGGATCTACAGGAACAAGTAATGCTGCTGTTGCCACCGGTGGTACTGAGATTGTTTGTTGTGTTGATACAAGTGGCTCAATGGCTGGTAGTCCTATACATAATGTCTGTGAAGTTTTACGCGACATTTATCAACGTACACAAAAAGACTATCGTTTATTTGCATATAATACACAGACAGATACAAAGCGTACATTAAAAACATTGTCAGAACAAAATGGTGACCTGCAAGCCAGCGGTGGTACCTCATTTGCCTGTATATTTACAGCTATCAAAGACTTTCTTCTACAAAATCCGTCATCAAAGACCTTTATATTTATGACTGATGGACAGGATAATGAACCAAATGGTCAAACGCTGAAGAAGAGTATTGACATGTTAAAATTACTTTTAAGTGGAATGACAAATGTAAGTCATCATGCTCTTCCACCGGGAAGAAAATCAGGCAAAAGTTATCTCTAATGACCTAGATGCTCATTTTCACACTGAAGAACTTGAGCAATCTGAACTCTATGATTAAATTATTTTTTTTATAATTTGGCGCTTTGCTCTCTTTCAGTCTCCTCCCATTACATTTCATGTTATCGGCTTCGGTGAAGTTAACGATCAGTTTCTTAATCAAATACGAACATTTGGTACACGTCAAGGGCTCTTTCGTTATTCAACAGAATCAAAAGAATTACAAAATAATTTTAATGATATGTTTGAATATGCATTGAATGTACGTGAATTTACTATTAAACTTTCGAGTGGCAAAACTTACACTACAAATAGTATTGATAATGAAACAGTTGGTTTTCTAACTAACGACGATGATGATCTCAGTACAATTACAGAGTTGACACTAACTGATGATACAACAACAACGAGAAACTTTTGTTTAACACAAATGAAAAATGTTCGTCCTATACATCTTCTACGTGCACTCAATCTTATTTCACCACAAAATGAAGAACACGTGAGATCAATACAAACCTATTTGAATACAATTCAAATTACAAACAGCAAAAATTTAATGGAGCGTTTAGAAGTTGAACAAATGCACAAGGAAATTGATCAACGTATGATGGAATATCGTCAATTATTTACGCAATTGAAAATGCATCAGGTACCAGAACGTGTAAAACTGCAATTGAGTGCACTTAGACATGATCCAATATTTGCTGACGCACAACGGAAGAAGAAATTGGATTTAAGAATAAATAAAAATGTTGATTATTTTAAGAAAACAGATATCAGTGGTATATTACAAGGGTATAAAGATTCAATTACATCGGATACATGGCAAATGATTAAACAACAGAAACAGGAATGGGTTGATGTCTACTCAAATGAAGATATCTATGAAATATTTACTTATACATGTGTTTAGTATATGGACACGTTATATGTATAACCCACCCTTGTCTCACATTCTGCACATGGACATACGAGCCATGCAGCAGTCCAAAAAGATCGCTGTATTCTCATCCGAGGAGCAGATTTTC